TTCCCAAAAGTTGTTCTCATCCAGGGTGGACTGCAGTTTCGACCTCGCATCGGTCTTATCAACACCTCCAGGGGGAGTCGAACCTGTGACCCAATGGCACTCGTGGCACTGTGGACGAGTGGTTAACGTATCAAGATCTCGTTCTACACTGTCACGGTTCGAATCCCACTGAGGTTGTTGATAAGACCAATGCGAGGTCGAAACTGCAGTCCATTGTCGCGGTTCGAATCCCGCTGAGGGTGTTAACTGCAGTCCACCTCGGCCGTCGCGGTTCGAATCCCGCTGAGGGTGTTGATAAGACCAATGCGAGGTCGAAACTGCAGACCACTGGTGCCTAGGGATGAGAACAACTTTTGGGAAAGCAAGGCTATGTGAAATTCAATGGAAACGTCAGCTCAACTCATATCACTGTGGGAAAATTCTACTACCAGTCCTTCACCACCTTAGACGAAATAGGGTGAATACATCTCATTACACTGACTTACTGGTAGTCTCGAAACCCTACTTACAAATACATTCAGTTACCAAGAGTACTTGTGTTCTTGATCCTTTAAGTGATTATGTTCGTTTGCAGACGTACATGCAAAGCTCCTGAATCGTGGAGTGGGAACATTGGCGAGCTTTTGGGTTAACTAATGTTCCTCTTGCTCAGTGGCGTCTGTTCTTTCTGCGGGCACTTGATTTTACTTTCAACGCTAGTTTCTCCGCACTCAGTATTTCAATCATTCTGTTTATTTATACAGACTCCTTTGTCTTGCGCTTGTGAAATCTGTCTGGAGCAATGCCTAAGCCATTTGTCCGGTGACGACTTAATTCATCCAAGTCTCGGGAATTCTGACGTGAATTTATGTGACTTATTATGACTCCAGGAAGGAAGACTGCAATGTGTTCACGTAAGTGTCGGGTCAGTTTATTAAATGAAGTTAATTGGCAAAATCAAAGCTTCTTAAATCCGTTGCTTTCCGATCAGCCAAAGCACCAAAGGACCTATGGTTAACTTGTTTTAGTCCAACTAGCCTCAATAAGTTAAGTTGCGCCATTCCATCCCCCTTGGGACGAGTTATTTAGGTCACACGCACAGCTTTCCGGCATATTTGTCCAGACGCCGTATAGGAGTCTCCGAGAAAGCATAAGCATCGGGACCTAAAACAATTGAAGGTAGACTTCGAAAACAAATAGGTTGCTTGGGCGATGAAGCATATGTAGGATAGTTTGAGAAGGAAAACAACAGGACACTTGATAAAAAGTGTATTTTACGTTAACATTCGGTCGCAAAATCGCCTTTCCTTTGTTAGCCAAGACTGTCTCTGAGGCGCGAGGACATTCGCATAAACATGCCTGAACTCATGCCACCTGAGCTTGACCCCATTAATCCCGCACTATGTCCAGCACCTGCGCTTCCACTGGGGCCCATCATCATCATCATCAACGGTCGCCGATCAACCACCTGAGCTGCCTTGGCTAGATAAGCATGCAATGCATGGAGGCCCTGAGTCATGCAACCAAGCAAACTAGCCATACAGACATCATTCGCCTGTTGATAAAGGTGATCGCCGGATTCGCCAGATTCTTCTAAAGAGGAAGAAAACGAGATGCCACTGCATGCGTTGGCGGAGGCAGTTATCGCTGCTGTTGCTGAAAGGAGGGGTAACCGACGGACTAGGGCGCTTATTTCACGCAGGCGAGCCCGGTTCATTGAAAGTTGGCCGGCGGCCACAGCCCCAACGTACTCGCAAAGTAGATGCAGCCGGCTAGAGAGCATTTGTACCGCCTGATAATTGCCCAGCAAGTGTTCGGCTGTCTTGAAGGAGAAAGTTGAATATGGGGGAAGAAGTTAACTAAATTAATTTTGTGCAAATTGTATCAGAAGTTTAAACTTTAGGCAATGGCATAAGTTTAAGAATATCAGCGTAAAATACGGGTGGCTGAATGGGTGAAGCAAGTTTAAGCGAATTTAGACGCTAGGGCATTTGGACACAAATGAATAGCACTTAAGACTACGGGACGAGCTCATGCCAGATGTGGCTATTTTAATTACAGAAAAAAGCAACGGTGAGGAGATTAACAGGAACCGAGGCTGAGACATTTTTCAACCGGTCTTGAATACTGAGTGGTCATATGTTAAACGACTGGTAATATTACCTTTTAACTACCTAAAAATCGGATTTGATTTCGATGGATTTCCATAAATTGAATGGTGTATTTAAGTAAATGTGCAAATTATTTATT